TTGGCTCCAACTCATAGGAACCCTATGTACAACAGGATGAAACACTGCCTGGTCCTGCACCATCCTCACAATCCTTGCTATGTTTGAACCCATTGTTGCAGCCACTGTGTCAATCTATTTCGTTGAGAGTCTTCCTTTTTTCACTGACCCTCTACTTTACCAAGAATGATATACTTCTGAGAAAATGACCAAAGTAAGTGAGATAAAGTCTTACAACTAGTTACCAGTAATTGTATCTTAGTCATTATGGCTGCTTCTGCTTTTTTCATTAACAAAGGTTATACATATGTTGACACATAGTTTCTTTGCACCCACTATCTATGTCTGAATCTTTTGTCACAGGAGAATGTGGGCTGATGAGATTCTAAGATTATGTGGTTTAATTTTTCTTTTGTTTTTTTGAGTGAGGGAAGGAAAAACTGCATGCATTCCATTGCTGAATGCAGATTTTCTTTAGAATAAGTTCACCAGTGTATGGGTATACAATATGAAGAATGATCTAAGTAATTGTACTGTACTTCTATATATCCACCAGTATTTAATTAAATAAAAAGGAGAAGTAGAAAAAAAAAGGACAATGTTAATATAGACTTATTGGCCAAGATAAAAATATTCAAGGTGTTATATTATTCTAAGCACATTTCTTTGTTGAAAAACAAAACATCAATAATTTACCCCAAATTCAAACTTTTAATATTGGAAAGAACATATTGTCTTTGAATTGTTGATGGTTTTAATAGGCTTATCCTATTTTTAAAATCAGGATTTTCAAAAATGAATACTTGAGAGTAAATTTTTTATTACTTTTCAAGTGATTTAACCAGTTGAACCATTATTAGAGCAATGAGCTGGTTTTATATGTGGCATTAAATATATAAGAACAATGTTATATATGGATTTATCAGAAAGACTTCTACGTGAAAGTGTGATATGCCTTAGCTATCTTGAACCCTTAAGGGTGTCATTCATAGAAACTGTATTTTTCAAATACTTTCAAACCTGTAGATGTAAATATTTTACTTATTGTTCTATCTGCTTGACTTGAACTTACTGTGCATAATTTAATCTTTTCTCAAATGCACAGAATCCTAAAGCTTAGAGGAATCTTAGAAATCCTATATCTGAAGATGATATGTAAGATGAAGGACCTAGTTATGTTAAAAAATTTAAATATGGTATGACTGTTACAGACTTTACAAATTTGTTTAAAAAAATAGTTCATGTATCCTAATTTATTTGTAACAACCAGGACTGGTAGGCAGAATGAGTCACATAATTCAACACTATGTGGTCCAGGGAATGATGCTTATACAGATTATGAGCAATGCCATCTCATTAGTTAGCAGTACAACTGAGGGTAGTACTCAGATTTTCTTATTCCTGTGGGCTGATGTGTGCTCAGTGGGTGGTACAGTGCAGAATATTAGACTAGGAAACATTGGGATAAGGCAATTTTTTTTTGTTATTCCAGTATGTGATTCCCCAATCCAGCCACCCTCCCCTCCCCAACCCAACAGAACTCAATTCCCATGGAATCAATGGCCTATCATTTTATGTTCCAAACAAATAAGAACCTAACTTTAAAAATGAAGCTTTTTAACTCTCTTCTTGATTTTTTGCCAGTGATTAAGAATTTTGGCTGTGCAATCATTCAATACCTTGCCACTTCATAGATCAAGATAATGAGAGTGGGTGCAGATAATGACAAGTAATCTTGCTCATATGGGTTTGTCTAGTTTTTATGGCAAACAATAAATTTCAGAAAAGTTTGAAAGAAAAGTAGGTGATCTCTTGAACAAAATCCTACTGAATTTATGGCAAAAACTGAAAAGGTCACAGTATTGTTGGATGACAGAGTTGTAGACTCTAAATATCTATTTAGTATTCAGTCACTTATATCAGTGGATGGATCTGATCTGTTCTGCTTTGTGAGGTTTATATAATACTTGAGAAAGTGGAACAGTGACAGCCAGACAATAAGGAAACATTATTATATTCTTAAGGTAGGTGCTAGCACAATTAGGAAGTCACCCATACTATATTCTTTAGGCTTTTCTTTAGTGACAGCCCTGCAGAGGAGGATCAGAACCATTACTCTGTGCATTGACGTTTATCACCCTCTTCAAAACCCATTCCAAAATACCTTACTTCTAAATCCTTACGCATGAGAGGAAGGAACATTTCAGGTGTTTGCCCTCCATCTTCTGGCTCCTCCCCTGATTGTGGCTCAACCATTTAGGAACTGGAACTTCAAATTGCTCTTAAATCTGGAAGCCATTGTAGTGAAGATTGCATTGATGGTTGCTGTCCCAACCTCCAGGCCCCAAATACTTGAAAGTTTAGTCAGGTTGCAGATAAAGGGCTTTTACTTCTAAATTTGGTGAATGAGAAACCCTTTAGAAAGTTAATGGAGTTATTTTTTTGTTTCTCAATGTTCAGAGCAATACCTGCAAGGGAGAAACTCTACTCAAATCTTTCTTGTGCCCTCTCTCACTTCTAACTTTTTTATTGTTAGATAAGAAGATATTTTTGTAGCAAGAAAGAAAGTCAGGTGAACAAATTGCAGTGGGTAGTTGTATGGCTTTTTAATTTCCTTATTAGTTTTCTTTATTTTCAAAATATTTAAAGAGGAATAATTTCTTTATTTCCATTTCAATGTACTTATTTGTTTCCAAAAGCAGTATACTAGGGGAAAAAAAAAAGAAAAAAAGCAGTATACTGGAAGATTTCTATTAGGTTTGGCTTATAGTATTTTTGTTGTGCTGTTTCTCTAATTTTGAAGAGACACTTTCCCTGGGAAAGATTTCTTTCTGTCTAATTTCAGGAATAGCAATTTCAGTATGATAGCTTTTAAAAGAACCTGAAATTGCCTTAATTCGATTACAAGGGTTCTTCTTTATAAAATGTACTACTAGAACTCATCTTTTTTAAGGAGTTGAACTTGCCTTTTGTTTGTGAGATTCACATATTTTCCCTAACGAATAAGTATCTTATCTATTGGCAGGTTGAATAAAGTAGTATTTCTTTTTTAGTTTCTCTTGTCTGATTATGATAATGTTAATTTCATTAAAAAGTTTTGCATGATTTTTTAGTATAAAACAAACAGTACATTTAGTATATGATTTTGAATTATAATATATATACTATAGCTATTAAAATAAATATTTTATTTAGTATTGCCTCAAACAAAGACATTTTCACAATCACAAAACCTCCTTGTTTATATTTAAGCTTTAAAAGAGATATTTTATTTTAATATATATAAAGAACCTCTTTATCTCAGAAAGAGGAAAAATGAAAACACCCTTTTGTTCCAGAGTACAGCTTCTGGCTCTTAAGACATTTGCCAGATACCTTGCTTGACAAATAACAATGAGTGTCCCTGTTGATAATTGAGCATGTATGGCTACTGCCATCCCAGGCTTTACTAGCCATAAATATTTATTTCAGGGAAAAAACTTTTTTTTTCACGTATACTGACACTAACCAGATAAGGGTTTTCCTCTTCTTTCTTCTTTTTGTCTTTAAAATTGATGCTTTTTTTTTTTTAACAAATTAAGTAACTATTTTTTAGTGAGATCCTATCTCCCTTTAGCACACAAATTATTGCCTGTTACTAGGGATTAATTCACTTAAAGAAATCTTGCAGCTTGGAAGTACTGAAATTGTTTTGAAAAACAAAAGCATGCAAATTCTACACATACTCAATATTTATTCCAATTTTCAGAGTATCTTCTTTTATTTTTAGATGAATCTACGTTCTGTATTTACTGTAGAACAACAAAGGATATTACAGCGTTATTATGAAAATGGAATGACAAATCAAAGTAAAAATTGCTTTCAGCTCATATTACAGTGTGCACAGGAGACTAAGCTGGACTTCAGTGTAGTCAGGGTAAGTATTGAGGTCTTCCACTCTCAAATTTACAGCATTTTATTACAAATGATATTGTTTAATACAAGTAAAAATATTCAGGGTATGAAGTCACTAACTTTATAAATAGCTTCATTTCCCTGGCATAACAATGCTAATTTTTAAGAGAACTGATCTTTTAATATATGTTTATTTGCTTCTATAAATTTCTTGATAATCCTAAAACCTTTGCAGTGTGACCATATCTTTAAAAAGCCCCAGTCCTTTGAACTAAATAATATCAGTAAAACAAGCATTTACCAAAGGACTGAGTACCATATGCTTAGTATTATTTTCTTGTTAGATTTTATTTTTTCATTAGGCATTCATGACTTCAGTATCTATCTTTTTAGAAAACCATAGCCTTTTTCTTTATGAATACTTCACCTTCCTTCTATGTAAAATGCATACATTTCAATGGATTAGCAAGTTGTTGTTGTTGTTGTTGTTGTGTGCCATCGAGTCAGCCCTGACTCATAGCTTAGCAAGTAGGCTCCAAGAAATCCAAAGAGGGGAAATTTCCTTTTGTCATAACCATAGTCTTTCAGCTACAAAAAAGAGAGCTGTTATCTATTTGTGAAAGGCAATGAGAAGGTGATAGAAAGAAGGCAAGCATAAAGGTAACAGAACTAATCATGGATTTTATTGAGTACATGGGTCCTTTCATGTTTGTTTGCACATGCTACTAATTCTCCTGGCAAGAAAATTTAGGGATTCAAAGATCAGCAGTTTTCACATCTTTGGCAGTTACTTGTCTAATTTTGGAAAGAGAAAGGATGTCTGTTTTTATGTTTATTTCCCTGTTGGACATACCTTCAAAGACTCTAAAGATAACAATCTCTTGATAAGCAGAATTCTTTGGAGAACATAATTCTTAATGATTAAATGATATATTCACCTTCATATAGAGAAGTGTGTCACCAAGTCTAGAGCAAATATTTTCAGAATGTCTGTTTCTTGTTTTCTTGTTTACTGAGCTCAACAATAATACTTAGAAATATCTCCTATTAGCAGTTCTAAATGCCCTATTTAAAATAACTTTACTAAACCTCAGAGAAAAATGTTTAATTGCTTTAGAAAACAATGTCAAAATGTATATTCCAAGTAATACAATTGCATTTTATAAGTGTAAACTTCTTTTGATTTTTTTTTCTGTGCCATGATTTCCTTGTATTGTACCATTACTTTTCAGTGAAAAGCCTTCTTAGGCAGCTGTATTGTGGACTGTTATCTTTAATATTCCCAGTTTGTTATTGCATTATCACCCCAATTACTTGCTTGTTTGTGCTTGGATATTGAGAGTATTGAAATACAGAGGTCCAAATGGTGTGAAATCTAAAACGAACAATGGGAATGAAGGAAATAAATTCCTGTAATGTAACATTACAAGTAAAACGTTATATAAATCATTAGCAATTGTGTGAGATAGATTCATTCTTTCCATTCCAGAAGAGTTTAAATTCAGAAATACAATCCTCCTAATCTAAACAACAACTCAATTTTGTGGTTTTTCCATTTAGACAAGGGAGTTGATTATAAACATATCACTTTGCAATCCCCCTCCCACACTTTCATGAATATATATTTTCTACATGAAAGAACCTTTCTTAGTTGTTTTAGATATTGTATACATTTTGTTTTTTTTTAAAGAACTCAAATGTCAGTATCTTAAGAACTTGATCCCAGTGTTAAGAGAACTTTGAAGGGTTAAAACATCCAAGCATGCATAGGGGTATAAAGGAGGAGGACAATAAAGAAGACATTACAGAAAAGGAAAAAGAGGCTTAGGGGCAGTGAATTTCTAAGAGAGAGCTGAAAAACAATTTTATGACTGACGAATTGGTGATCCAAACGTCTTGCCTTTCATTTTTGTTTTCCCTAAGTACTATTGCTTTGCTTGTTCTTAACTCCAAATTCTCATCATGACCCAAATTTCCTTCTCACCCATGATGCATTTGTAATGAGAGTAAATTTTATCTGATAAGTATTTGTAAATTTTGGATCCTGCCACTGAACAACTTTTTTTAAAAATTTTTATTGTGATTTGTACGAAAGTTTATGGATCAAATTTACTTTCCATATAGCAGCTCATATACATTTTGTCTCATGACATTGACTGCAATTTCCCACAATGCAACAGCTCCCCTCCCACTTCCTCCTCACAGTTACCTCTTCCTTATATCTTTCCCTCCCTTGTAGTCCTGCCCCCCCCAGCTGTCTCCCTGTGCATACACAGCCCTTCTATTCTCCCATGATTGATCTCTCCAAGGAGTGTAT